AAATTGCAGGCCCCTCTCATCTTTTTAAGTGGGAGAACTTGCATAATTGGTGGCTGACTAAATACTTTTTTGCCCCACTGTACCTTTCTTGCAGTACACAGAATCCTCTTGTTAAGGATCTACCCAATTTAAGTCCTCTTCATAATGCTCCATTACATCATCCCTGCCCATCTTCTAAGGTTTGAATTTTCCCCCTCTCTATTCAGTATTCCAGAGTATCAGTATTAAATCCTTGTTGGCTGATTCATCAACCTGTTTTTCGAGAAGTTTGTTCCGTTCTCCCTAAATTGATTCCCCGCAACCTGCTGATATTCTTGTCCTAGTGTGGAAATGTTATTTTGCTTGGGAAATGAGCTGATATTCTCATCATGCAGCCTTAGGGCACCAGTGTGCCCATAGACACACCCCTTAATGCTTGTCATCCTCTTTTTGCACCCATAGTTGAACTTTTTAAAAATAGGAAGTTAGCTTGCATCTGTCCTCAGTATTATATCACAAAGGGGGAAGGGGCCATTAAGGCCATCAAGTCCTTGTCAGCTCAGGGATCCAAATTAAAGCATCAGTGAAACATAACGTTCCAGCCTCCTACTGACATGTCCAGTGAATGGAAGTCTTATCACCTCTCTGGTTATTTGGCTCCACTGCCATACTACTCTTACTGTTAAGGAATATTTTTTCTGAACATTCAGCTGGAATCGTCTTGTGTCCTGTATTCTGGAACAACAGGAAACAGGTATTGACTTTCTGTGTAATATCATTTGAAGAGTGCTCTCAGTCATCTCTTTTCAAGCTTAAATACATCCAGCTCCTTCAAACTCTCTTCATACGACTTGGTTGCTAATCCCCTGATCATCCTTGTTGCCCTTCTCTGAACCTGTTCCAATTTCTCTGCCAGCCCAGAACTGGATATAGTGCTGTATTTAAGGTATAATCAAGTGGAACAATTATGTTGTTGAACAAAGTAACAATTCTTTATTTGTTGAAAAAAAGTTAATATTGCATTTGCTTTTCTTACAGCTGTATCACACCACTGACTCACATTCAGTTTGCAGTTACTCCAAGTACCATTACCATAAGCCTCTGTTCTTCCTTGGGAGTTTGTATCAATAGATGACTATGCCTCACTGATTTTTCTCTCCATTTCATTATTATGTCCCATATTCCTTTTCAAATTTTAAGGATGCCAACTCTCATCTTCACTTGTAGGTAGGCACCTGATGCATTGGATGGACAAGATTTTACCCACAAGAGTTGCACAAGGTGCCAGTACCACACTCACTGTGCACATTAGTGCTTCCTTAAAGAAGGCACATCTTTTCCAGTGCTTGCACAGTGGTTATGCAGATTTGTGATAATAAAATCAACTTGTGTTTGATTAAGGGTGATTAACAGGTTCATTGCATCCTGTTGCTGCCTCTTTAACATCACAGTTCAAATTCATATTTTCCTGGGACTCTGCAGGTACCATCAGAGTCCAGGAAAAGGCACAGCTACTTTAAGAAGGTGCAGACAGGTGTGGTAAGCATGTTCATGCCCCCTCTGAAGACTTTTTCTGCATTGAGCCCAATGCACATCCTTACCCACCACCATCTGGTGGCATATCCTTAGAACAAGAGGAAGGAATCAGTAACTACTCCAGGAATATTACCTAGCTGATTTGGTCATGTTTGTGTAAATCAGTTGTTAAATTATCACATACATTACAGCTAAGCCAAAAGCTGACATTTTTCCTGCTCTGTCTGGACAGGTGGAGTGGGAAGAAAAGCTTGGAGCATCCCTGACAGGGATTGGGGGCTGCACCCATAAGGCAAGTCAGAACCTTGGAAGGACTCTGCTCCAGGTTTTCCAGGCAGAGCAAGAAAAACAGGAGTTTATATATCTGTCCTAACTGTATTGAAAATACTGGGGTTTAAGAACCTCATGACGAACCTAATTTCCAATGATTCCTTTTTAATATAATTATGTGTATTATTAGTTTATGACTTTAACTTTCCCACTTAGTTTAATGGGACAGACTCTGGGTGTGACTTTATATTGCAACAACCCAGTTCAAAACAGAAATGTGGCCAGTTCATTCAAGATTTCAGCTGATGACTGTGTGTTGTATCCATAATATTAAATTGGGGAGGGGGTGTAAATAAGGTGGGGGAAAGTCTCTGAACATTCATCAATCACACTCAAGAGGAATATCAAGCTATTTGTACTCATGTTATGTTATCTGAATAAAGCAACCAGGACAAAATTTTATAACCTGTTAATGTTTTTTTAAAAAGC